CAGTGGGCTATCTTATTACTCTCGGTGAATTCTTTCAAGGTACACAGGGGATTTATCTTCAGTATATTCCACTTGTAAATTTGTGATTCCTCTGTATTTATATCCTTCCCTATTTCCAATAGCCTATGTCTTCCCTGTGCCAAAATTCTCAGGTTTGTCCCAATTCCCTCATTAATGGCCCTAATTAATTGGGGTTTAACCTCAAACTCTGTGATCCACCTTGAGTCTATTCTTGCGCATGGAGTGAGGTAAGGGTCTTGCTTCATTTTTCTGCAAGTAGATATCCATTTTTCTCAGCACCATTTATTGAAGAGAGCATCTGCTTCCCATTTGATATTTTTTGGCTCAGCCCTGATTTTTATTATTTCTTTTCGTTTGCTATTAGTAGGATTGTCCTGTTGACTCTGCTCTAGTTGCTATAAAATCTGTGCCAGCATATCAATCATAAGTCTCTTCCTTTTTCATGTATTGCTATGAAACTTCCTGTGAAAACTGCCTTTGCTGTGTCCCATAAGTTTTGGTACGTTGTGTTCTCATTCTCATTGTTTCTAGACATTTCCAATTTCATCTCTAATCTGGGCTGGTACATACCCCTTTTGCAATTGATTCATCCTCCAATTGTTTGCCCTTGTTTTCTTCATCTTCCTTTTGTTGATTTCCAGCCTTATAGCACAGTGCTCAGAGAGGTGTCTGTATGATATCAATGTGCCTAAATTTATGCAGATTTGACTTATGCCCCAGCATGAGGTCTACCTTCAAATATGTGCCATGTAGGCATGAAACAGTGTGAGTTTTTTGTATTTGGGTAAAGAGCTCTGTAAATATCAGGTCAAATTGTCTAATTGTAGTGTTTAGCTATCTAGCCTCCTTTGAGTTTCTTTCCCGTCATTTATCTTTCTCGGAGGGCTGTGTATTGAAGTCACCCACTATAACTGTTGAGCCTGTGGTTTCTTTTATCATCTTTAGGAGTGTTTGATTGACGCATTCATCAGGTCTCTCTTTCAGGGAATATATGTTTAAAATGCTTGGTGGTTCTTTGTCTACAGTTCCCTTGAGCATTATATAGTGTCCCTCCTTATCTGAGATTAGGGTTTCAACCTCTACTTTTTTTTTTTAATTGTTTGCTTGGTGTTTTTTTCCAGCCTTTCATTCTCAGCCTATTTTTGTCTCTAGTCTTGAGATGTGTCTCCTGTAGGCAGCAGATTGATGGGTTGTATTTTCTAAGCCAATATGCTAGCCTCAGCCTTTTAATACGAGATTAGTCCATTGATATTCAGGGTTATTACAACCATCTGTGGAGTCTGTGATGTCATCTTATACCTTTTGTGTTGGTTTTCCTACCTCCCTTTATCAGTATGGTGTGTGTGTGTGTGTGTGTGTGTTGTGGGGGGAGGTTCATTCTTGACTTCTTTCCACCCTAAGCCAATGCTATCTTGGGGGCTGTTTTCTCTTTGTTTCCCTCTGGGTGGGGTTGTTCTATGTGGCGGTCTCTTATTTGAGCTCAGTGCATGTTGTTGTTCTGCCCATACTGGGTCGGCAAGGATCTTTTGTAGGTTTGGGTTCCTTTTAATGTATTCTTTGAGTTTTTTCTTGTCTGGGAAGACTCTTACTTCTCCATCTATCTTGATAATTTGGCTGTATAGAGTATTCTTGGGTTTGCGTTATTTTCCTTCAAATTTTGGAATATGTTACTCCATTCTCT